TATTCGCTGACTGAGTGGCGCCAGAATTTTAATACCAGGTGGGCCAGGCTGGGGACCAAATTTATTAGGGAAGGCCAAATTGTTGACTTGATATATATATACAATAGTGATGACAGGCAATTRCGCAGAGGGGGGAGGGGGAGGGTCAACTTCCAATTTTTCAATTTTTTTTACACTTCATCGTGTTAACTTACTAAAACAATGATTTGTAAACATGTATTTATAGTATTTATTTCCTAACAAAATATGTATTCATGTAAAAGTATATTCATCAAAAGTATATAAAAATAGAATGCTTTCCCTTGTATTTTCTTCATCATAGTTGGTTAATAATCTAATCCCGTAGTTCATGGAATTTTCAACAAAATTATTAATAACATTGATTAATATTTAATAATAACTAGTATAAGTATAACTTRTTATTATCGTGTTCAGCCGCTGGAAAATACACGTTATTTATGAGATTTTAAAGCATAGTGCAATAGTTTTCAACCCATTCAAAATGTTGTTCACGCCATCTATTATATGACTTAACATTTTCATATTTTGATTTATTCAGGAGATATTTTTTAGTATTCTATAGTATGATTAAATTTAATTTTTGGGGTGGGCCACAGGGGTCCCGAGACTTTCTAAGGTGGTTCCGGGCCCACCCTGGCACCACCACTGCGCTGACTTTTATGACATCGGACTTTTTTCGCGGTACTATTTTTATTACTGGACTTTTAGGTAGATATGAAATATTTCATTTTCATATTTCAGACAATTATATATATTATATATCATTATGTTTGTGAAACTATAAACTACTATGTTATACTTACTATATTTTTTTAATTGATAGGTAAGTAAATCATTAAAATATATTAACATCAGATTTTTAATGCTAAAAGAAATATAAATTGGTAAATTGTTCGTCAATTAAGCTGACGGTTTAATTTCTGAACGCAGGTAAGATTTAATCAGCAATAAATCAAAATAGGTATGCAACATATTATAATATTATAAAATAATTCAATTCTATAAGTTCATAATATTTTTACGCTCGTTCCCGTATGGCGTATGATAAGCGCAACATAATATTATGGCCTACCCGTTCTCAATAGTCAATACAACAAAGAGATTTTGTTCGCGCGCCAACACGTCGTATAATAATAGTTCCTCATATCAATCAACGGAGCGCTGTTTTCATTGTTCCAATAACAATATTAACGCCGCGGTCGCCCATCTATAACAAAAARTAGTGTCGTCATTCGTCTATCAGCTACTAATGCTACTATACTTTCGATTCCATTCGATTCTCGTTTACGCGCGTTTTTATTTATCACGTGTGCGTTGTGCTCGTCGACACCGCCAGCCATAGAGCTACTCGAGACTCGACGGCTTTATTGATTTCTACTTTCTTTGTCTGCGTTTGCGCCATATTCGCATTTCGCGTCTCTCGGCTCTCCGTGATTGCCGTTGTTCTGACTTCTGAACGACATCCGATGACATCCGTGAACACCGTTCGTTGAATAATTATCAACTCGATATTATTTATATTTGTTATTTAATTGTGACGTTCGACGCTCAGCCTCTTTTTGCCGTTTTTTGCGGTTTTCTTCAAAAGCCATCGCCGCAGACAGCAATGTTAAAATAGTTTCATCGAACAACGTGTTTTGCCCATCCACCTGCCTTTCAACACTCACACCGTTACCGCCGATTATCAAGAGACCGGCGACMGATACTTCCGAAAATGGCTTCCAACGTCAACGTCACATCAAACAGTGGTAATGATTTTATATAACAAAACGATTATACTTAATTCTGAAGACCGTATTTATATCAGGGGCGGATCCAGAGGGGGGCGATCAACCCCCCCCCCCCTTCACCGTAACAAACTTTAGTTTTTGACGTAATTACTTCAAGAGTAAATAGGGAAATCTTAAACTATTTTTTTTATACCAAACTTATGCTGCTACCACGATTATATTATATTAWTTTTCTTTATAATCGTGACTGCTACTATGTTATCAGTTATAATTATTATTTGGTGATATACTACTATTATTAAATAAATAACTTACCTATAACAAAATTAATATTTTTAATTTTATCTATATCATGTGTGTCCGTTAAAAATCGCCCCCTCCGTTATTTTGGCCTTGATCCGTCCCTGATTTATATGCACATATAATCATTAAGTACGCACTCAGACGTGTACTAAAAAATGTCAAAATATACTGAGTAAAATTTCAAATTTTAATACATTTTTTATTATACCTATTTCGTAATTTTAAAGAGTAAAGAATATCTACATTCATATTATTTATTMAAAACCTAATATTTAATTTGTTTTAGTGAGTATATAATTCATGATCATTTTAAATTACCTACATGGATAATGCCTAATAACAATTTGTAACCTTAAGAGCAGGTAGCTACATTTTGAATTATATAGTGCAAAGATCAATTGGGTAATTGGCATTTTAGTATCTACTTAATTTACATTAATTCTCTGTTAAGTGTATGTAACAGTGGATTTGTTGTCTCCGTCTTACCAGTGCAGAATATATTCTAATATATTCTATATATTCTAATACATTCTATATATTCTAATATATTCTATATATTCATATAGCAAATGTACGCTTAGCAGACACTTGTAGCTCCTTTAGTTTAAAAATTACAGTGAATCGACCTATTATGAAACTTGATGGTAAGGTAACAACATTATCTGTGTTTGTACGTTGGTTTTTTACGATAATTCAATTTTTCAGTGACTTATGAGCATATATTATACAGTACATTAAAAATGCTCATAATTCACTTAAAAATTGAATTATCATAAAAAACCAAYGTACAAACACAGATAATATTCTTACCATCAAGTTTCATAATAGGTCGATTCACTGTAATTTTTGAACTAAAGGAGCTACAAGTGTTCTGCTGAGTGTAAATTTGCTATATTACGCACTGGTAAGACGGAGACAACAAATACCACTGTTACGTACTCTTAGGAGGACACCACCATACCCACATGTGTTGTCTCTGTCGTACAAGTRTGTTGCATACCAAATTTTACGCTCAGCAGATCACGTTTATCTCCGTTAATTTAAGATTTTGAGTGAATTGACCTATTATAAAAATTAAAGGCAAGATTATTACTGAGGGCATCTTATAAACTTTTTATTATATTTTAATTTTAAACCGAGTTATGAGTATTTTAAAATTGTAAATTATTTTTATATCTAAAAATACTCATAACTCTGTTTAAAATTAAAATATAATAAAAAGCCTATGAAATGCCCTCGGTAATAATCTTGCCTTTAATTTTTATAATAGGTCAATTCACTCAAAATCTTAAATTAACAGAGATAAACGTGATCTGCTGATCCTCTTAATATGAAAAAGTACAACATTTGTCGGTACTGGTTTGTTGTTGTCTCCCTATAAATTAAATGAAATTATAAATAATTAAATAAAAAATATAAATGCAAATAAATATGTTGGACGTACCTATATGTCAAACTATATGGAGTAAATTTTCTTTCCTCTCAATTACTACATATTTTCTTAAAACATTAAAACAAATACTATACAGAATGATCCATTGTCAACCTAAGGTAAGACAATAATTATTTCGAAAATTTTAAGTTATACATTTTTTTGTTTAGAAATTTTAAGGTTTAATGAAATTTACAAATAATTAATATTTCTAAAATTTTCACATTTTTTGGTATATAATAAATATGAATCAACTTGGGATTTTAAAATGGTAATACCTAACTATATTTAATATCAACAAATTATAAAACCATTTTTTTTTTTTTTTTAGAACTTCTCAGATTTGAATTTTTCATGTAGATTCAATAGATTTTGAGATATAGCCAATTCAAAATACGATATAGGAGAAGCTTTTCATGTTTGTTTACTCTTGTTTCTATGAATTTTTGGTCAATAACACAAATCAATAATCTTTGAATCAGAGTAATTAGGACAACTTATTATTTATTACCCCAGTTATTACATTACCAAAACATGTATAGGACATAACATCTTATCTTATCATTTAGTATTAATATGAAAATAAATAATAATTATTGCCTATTGATACCTACTATATGGTTATCTTTTAACTTGGACAAAATATGTAAGCTTGGGGGTAAACTTCTAGTCTTTACAAATGAAAAATACAATAGTACCTCCATTAAACATCTAACTTTGAGGGGCTATATCTTACAAACGGATTATTCAAAAAATAAAATTCTAATATTAAAATTCTTAAAAAAAATACTTTATACATTTTATAYATAGGTTACCATTTAAAAATGAAAAGTTATTAGTGGTTTCATCCACAAAAATAAGGGTTAAAATTTAAAATTATAGAGGGTATGAAACATGTTAGACTATAATAACATTTTGATATTTAAAAAATAAAAATTTGAAAAATGTTAATACTTATTGAAATAATGATTATCCTCGTGATTATCTTTCAGATTTAATGGTATTTATGTAAATTGTTTATTATATCATTTTATATGTTAAATTCAATGCAGTAAATAAGAAAGAAGATTAAGTATACAGTGGGGGATCCTGRATTTTAACCAGCCTGGGAGAATTTCATTTCACCGGTCCAAAACACCATAAATACAAACAATTTTGTGGGAATGTAGTAAAATCAAAAAAATAACTGTAGTTGRGTTAAATACATTATTTAATATTTCTAATTTATTACTTACATAAACCATACAAGTATTATTAATATATATACATGGATACAGGGTGATTTTTTTAGCACACTCACCCCTATTTGGTTTGAGTTGTTTTTATTCATAGATAATAATGCACATAATATAACAATATATTATGATTATATACAAAACGTCATAAAGATAATAAAACTATTTTAATTGAAAAATAATATTTAAAAAAATAAAAAAAGAACAAATCTTAGTATAAATAAATTATAAGATCAGTTTTAGGATGATAGGGCTGTTAGTTATGGCCGGCTCCAGCCCACTGCGAAACTTCTCAGTCTTCCAGTGGCACAATCCGCCACTCAATATTCCAATATTGATACCTAATGCAATTATT